TTTGGCAGGTCGCTGTCGCATTTTACCTGCGAAGAACTCCCGCAGTTCGATCCGCCGGCGGGTCGACCACCGGGTCCGGGTCAGCTTCTTCGGGAAGGGAGGGATACCTAGCTATTTCCCGTGGGCGGGGTCCCGAAAAAATCCCAGGCCGGCGCGACGGAGTGCCGGGAGCAGGTCGCGAGACGGATGCTGGATAGTATTTCGTGACCGCCGCCTCGGCTTCTTTCCGAGACCGTCGCGGCCGCGCTATAGCGACTGGGGGCCGGAAGAGCGGAGATTTCGTCGAGTGGCGGCATGGTGCCTATGCTATGATCGAGCCTGGCGAGATCGTCAGCGAGCGAGCGTGGCCTCTGTTGCGTTCCGGCCGCCCTCAGGAAGCACAATCTCGGCACAGACACCGACCCATACGACGCGATCGCCGCCGAAAGCAGCACACCGATGACCACAGCCCGTCAGCTCCAACCTGGGGGCACTCAGCCAGCTACCTACTGTAAGAACCCATATTGACTGTATCGCCGGGCCACACAATCCGAGCCCGAGCCGACCCTGCCGGAAAGCGACGAGGCCCGAGCCCGCGCGACCTTTCACCCTCTTGCGCGAAGCCGGTCAGCGCAGTCGCGGCTCCCAAGAGGCGGCTCGGCTTCGTGCCTGCCGAGAGCCCTTCCCGCGTCGGCTCGACTCCGCGCCGAAAACGGGGTACGCGCAATCCCAACTCGTGACGACGCCGCACGTCTGTATAGCGGCTGCGCCGAACCACGGTACCAAAGCCCGTGTCCTCAGGGTGGGAGGGATGGACAGGCGATCGCGGATATCACCCATCCATGGCGTCTGGAATTGGAACTGGAACTGGAACGGGAACGGGAACGGGAACTGGAACGCGCCGGGATGGCGACGAGCTTGTTGCGAGAGTCGCGCGGAAAGATGTGGTACAGTCACCTCCAACGGCTAATAATGTAATGAATGCATAGACTCTTATTTCGCGTCAGAACTCGTACGTTAAACAGCTTGAACTGTGTACAACTGGGAAACGAAATCTAGAAAGTATTTAATGAAAGGGAATAGCTCAATACCATAAGATGATTTTATCTGATACGAGTGTTTAAGAGAGTCAATCAGAGCAGAGGTGTAGAAAGTTGGCTTTCGTCTAGCTTTAGAAGAAGAACTCCTGAGAAAAGGAGCGACTTCCGCTTTTATCTTTTGCATCTAGATCTATTCACGAAGCAGATCTAAGCTGGACGGTGTAATCAACTAGTTCCCGAAGACAAAATTAACAAAATTAATAAGCTCCAGCTGAGGTTGATTTCCCCCCCTCGAAGTGTTGGCCCTTAGTTTTGGTGCGAAAAGGGGTTTTCTGCATTAGGAGTTGGCTAGTACTATAATAAATAGCATCGCTCACGCAGAGAGCTAGTAACTCGAAGCCGTGCTTGCAATGCGGTCTGAGCACAGAAAAAAGGCAATGGATCCTCGATATATCGTGTCTAGGAGCAAGATTCGATGCGAGACGTACTCCGAGAGATCCAGTCGCCCCGGTAAGAACTTGTATTTTCGGTCCACACACGTGTTGGTCAGCTATGGAAGGGTTGTTTGTAACTTGCGATGCATTGGCCCTATTTTGCAGCCTCGACTTCGACAGGATAGTGTGCATCGGAGATGAAGTACCACGAGGTCTTGCATTTGGGATCTCGTGGATTTGGCCGGTGACATACCACTTATTCGGTAGCGATATAGTTCGCTGGCGAGCGATGGGATAGAGATAAAGTCGAAGATAATATTTGAAGTCAGAGGCTGCCCAGAAATATTGATGTTCTTGCCGATTGTAGAACCGATTTGTATTGCTTGTAGGGAATCGACGCCAATTGAGAGCAGATCGGTTGTGTCTTCGAGTAGGATGGAAGTCGAAGAGAGGAGAACCTTCCTGATTTCAGCGTGTAGGAATCAGCATAGTTATAGCTTGATAAGGCACAGTTCCCGGGACGGTGCTTCCGCATTATCGAATATCTCCTCGATCCGGGCATGAACTTCGCGGTAGAAGGCAGGCCGGATAAGGCTACCTTTTGCCTGTCCGTGTATATCCCGTGTCATGGGGCAACATCATGATTATATCTGAACCTAGCTCAGCATAGGCTGGCATCAGCAGCTTATTGGCTTCAGCCAATAAAAGGGGAAGCATTAACATAATCTGATCGCCATTCCGATTCGAGCTTTGCTAATACCAAATGTAACTGCTTCGGACACGTACTTGCTATCACGGTCGTACTGATCGAATTTAATAGGCATGACTTTCGCTCCGATTATCAATACGACTGTGTCATCCAATCTAGCCAGATACTTCCATGCATCGAGTATCGTGAGATATAGGGTGAACAGGTCCTTGGTGGCATAGGAGCCATACAGCCTGTTTGACGGCAGTCCCTCAAGCCCAGCTAGTTCGTAGGCATTCGCACCCCTGGGCTCAAAGCGTATCAACAGCTTAAGTGCTGGCGGAAGACGAACATAGTCCCAAGCGAGATCTGGAGGGTCTCGTGCTGATGTCACGAGTCGGCCTTTCTTTATACTAATAGGGGGATTCAGCAAACATAAACCGTTGCGGTTCGCAATTGACTCACGTCCTACAGTGACTGACGAGATTGACGCCGTTCTGCACTAGCGGGTCAACCAAGCTCATCTGGACAAGCAGAGCCCCGGAACATTACGACCTCCAGTGCCGCCAGGGCCCGTATTCCATATTTACTCTCTCCGAGCAGCTTCAGCGCGTACGGATCCCCGTAGAAAACATGGACGTCGTATCGTTGGAAGATGTCCAATAGATATTGTTAGGTGAGAGGCAGGTCGGCGTTGTATATGTAGATCTGGTTCTTAAACTAAATCCGAGGAAGCGTTTCTTCATGGGATGAGTTTGCTCAACATCTATTCAATTCGTGACGCGAAGACGTTGAGCTGATAAAATGTATAATCGACGTACTCGGTTTCGGATAACGAATAGATTACGATAACCCACTACGCAATTCCGTTACGCAAAATCGTACCAGCTCGTCAATAGTGAGAGGGCTTCTTTACTCGGTACTCTATTCGTGGCCAAGTTGACCTGGGCTCGGGAGATTTTTATCTGCTTCTTGAAAGACGAAGCTTCTTCGCTTGGCGGCAGTTCCGTAGATACCACCTAGGGAGTTATGACTATGGAAAGTGTGGTGATATGCACCAGTGTCGTTCCTAAAAATGCTGATAGCTTTATTTTCAATGTACGAGGCTAATCAAATGTCTATTCGTCTATCTCCGTATGAGAAAATGCATCATCTTATGAATCGTCTGTGAAAGCACAAGCAACGTCAATAAACTTGGCAACAATTCGATCTTTGCCCAATCGGACGGGGTGAAGCTTTTTGGTAGGTACTTTGCTGCATGTCAATCCCCCCCCAGGCCGATCACCATTTCAAGTCTCGGAAAAGAAACCTCGGAAAAGGGACTAGGGGGCCTGGGCCAAGGCCACATGGAGAGATGCCGAATACAGCATCAGTTATCTTTATTGAGCGGTAAGAAATCCGATCCAAGATCTGTTCCAATTCCGTCGAGCCAATTAAGCGCCTGTCGGTTCCAGCAAGTGGCGCACGCATCGTGTGTATTACGAGATTCAGTTAGCCGGGCCACTCACGCAGAAATCAAACTCAGACCAGCCCATCGGCTCGCGCTGCGTCCTAAGCATCCCAAAGTCGTCCAGGATATCGCCGTATGAAGGGGCCGTGCTATTCAATGCTTGATTTGAAAGATAGCACTGCGAGTAATCTGTGCGTGGATAAAGAACGCTTCATGTCGAGCGTCGACAGGCGCCGACAACGGTAGTGGCGCTTCTTGGCCGGCCCCGTCGATGTCTGGGTTTCTCGCGACAGAGATAGGGTCGGGCGAGAAGCCAGACCTTCTTCCTCGTTTGTTCTTCTTCCAGACACAATTCTAGACTGCACCACGCAGTCGGAGGCATTTTCTAGTCCGATTATTGTGGGGGGGGAGGAGGGGGATTGGGCGTCTGGTATCTCGTCTCAGTACTGATAGATGGGTATAGACGTGGGAAAGGCTAAGAAAACCCTGAAATCAGAGATAGAGAAGGAGATGCGTGGAGGGTACTCACGATGGTGCATCGCCTCTCTCTTCAGCTCATCCAAGATGATGTTGTACTTCCTGAACGGCGAAGTCTCTGCGATCGTTTCTGCAATGGTAAGCTGAAATCGCTCTGCCTCCTGGAAACTCAGAGTGTCCGGATCCGGGCAGCGCTCTCTCCGTAGAGGGACGGCTCTGGCGGGAATGTGCTGGGAGCAAGCAGCACGTTGATGGAAGAAGGTAGGTGGAGAGAGAAAAGAGATCTGGTGCGGGATAGCCCACACAACACCACGTGCAACGATATATGTACGGATGTTGCACCTGGCAGACCAGCTGCAACCTTGTAACTCTCTCTTGTTCTCTTCAAAACGGCATACATACCTATTGATGATCAAAGTACAACAAATGGTACACCAGTCGACTTTCACGCCCTCGAGATTTCCCGAGAGCGTAGATATAAGAAATCGGTGCACGTGATGATGACATTGGCTCTCGCTTATCTACCGGTACCTACCTAGTAGGTACCTTTTCTGTTGAGGATACCCATTTCATAGGCACCTAACACCTAACACCTAACAAGGGGAGAACGAAACTGTAGACTACAGGTAGCTTTTCAAGCAAGAGTACGAGAGTATGCGAACGGTAGCTGTCGGTGTCACAGGTACCGAGTGAGAAGTACGAGTATAGGGTGGTACCAATTGTATTCGTGAAGTCTGAAGAGGCTCAACTGTACGAGCCGAGGGAGAGCTACCGGTATATGCTGATGCCTGGGCCGGCATACCTAGTTAAGCCACGTGACCTGGTACCTATATTTCCACGGATCGCGATGCCAAGCGGATGGCTTGAGCCAAGCCTTGGGATGGAATGCGATGTGCAACAAAAGCGTTGAAGGGTGTGTACGGAGCATGAGATGCGCTGAATGTGGGAGTGGCGAGTTGAGAGATCCGATGGGGAAAAAAGAGAAAACGTTAACGCACCGAGGGAGAGGAATCACCGTAGACGGCGGAGGGTTGGAGGGATCACGTGGGCTAGAGTACATATGCCTCTTAAAGCTTCTGATACGGGCAAAGAAATGATTGATTATCAGATGATGGATGGAAAACTGTCGAGCGTAGAAGAGATCAGTCAGCTAAATGTAATCAAGAAATATGTTTCGTACGGAGTATGCAGACGAACAATGCAATGCGAGACGATAAATATCAACGGCCCGATAAATCAAGCTGATCGGGTGAACGATTCACTACTGACTCGGATATCCGTCCCAGCTCAGCACTTGGAGCTCAGAGAGAACAGGGACCAGCTATAATGGCACGGCACGGCACAGGAGGGCTGAGCCAGAGCCGGAGCCAGAGCCAGAGCCAAAGCCAGAGTCAGAGCCACAGAGCCAGAGCCAGAGCCAGAGTCCTAGAGCCAAGAGCTAATCGTACCCCTGGTCGGAGTACTAGTCAGAGGCAGGAATGCGGTTCCTAGTACCCTTCAGTAATACGGTCAATTTTCAGTAATACGGTCAACTTTTTCGTGATTCTTCTTTTAATATATATATCTATTACAACTTTTAATAGAAAAATTATTTTTAAAATATAATATTATTCTTTGAGAATAAACCTACTCTAAGAAAAAATTTAGAAGCTAGTAGGATTTTAAAACGCGATTATATGTGTATATTAACCTCGTCGGCGGTATTTAAATAATTTTTAATTAAGTAAATAATTAAATAATTAAGCAACTACAAATAATTATAAGTAACCTTTTAAAAAATAATAATTGATAGCTTTTAATTTATATTCTTTTTCAGTTTTAATAGCTTAAAGCAATAATAGATCGATCGGTTAAAGGTTGTAATGAAATGAGCGGCTATTTGAGTAAAAATGCGAGGCTTTTAGAATGGTCGGCGCACTTTAAAATTTTAAAAAGTACGGCGAATACGCAGAAACCGATCGAGTTATTATTGCGTTAAGCTATTGAAAATAAGGCAGAATAAAGATTCGAAGCTGGCGATTACGATTTTTTAAAAGGTTACATGTAATTATTTGTAGTTGCTTAGTTATTCAGTAGTTCACTTAATTGAAAGTTATTTGAACAGCGCCGACGAGGTTAATATATAAATATAATCGCGATTTAAAATCTTATTAACTTTCAAATTCTGTATTAAAATAATTCTATTATTAAAGAATTATATTATATTTTAAAATTAATTTTTCTATTAAAAATTGTAATAGATATATATGTTAGAAGAAAAATCACGAAAAAATTGACCGTATTACTGAAAATTGACCGTATTACTGAAGGGTACTAGGAACCGCATTCCTGCCTCTGACTAGTACTCCGACCAGGGGTACGATTAGAGCTAGAGCTAGAGCTAGAGCTAGAGCTAGAGCTAGAGCTAGAGCTAGAGCTAGAGCCAGAGCCAGAGCCAAGAGCCAGAGCCAGAGCCAGAGCTAGGAAAATATCCATCCCGAGGGAAAGGAGAATTGGAATTGAAAGTCCCGGAAGTCCCGGAGATCTAGTTATCCAGATGTAAAGATATAAATGAATATAAATATAAATGAATATAAACGAACAGCCGCTGCCCACGACACGGACGAAGTGAAACAACCACCATGTACACAAGTGCACCCCTTGAATCACATGCAGGGTGCATGCCTACATCACGTGTCAGCCAATCCTTACACGGCTTTTCTAACCGCCGTCCGTTCCGTTCCGGCGATCGAGTAGCACAACGGACGCTTATCAATTCGATTCAATTCAGGGGCCGGACAGGGGGGGCGATAAAAGAGGGCTGGGCAGTTCTTCTTCATTGCTGGAACTCTTCTTTGAAAGTATGTAAGGGAGAAGCAACGACGAGCGACGCATGTTGGCCAATCAGCCAATCAGCCAATCAGCCAATCAGCCAATCAGATACGGATATTAGGGATATCCAGTTATCCATTAATTGTCGATAGAAGGAAGGGACGGAGTGTGATTAGCGAGGCCATGCTAAGACCACACCGGAACTCAATTCTCCTCTCCATCCATATTCCTGAATGTCCAACTTCGTCGACACCTGTTTTCTTCTTCCATTCTTCCTCGAATCGTCAGCTTTGACACGACACTCGCTTTCCAGCCTGTGACCCTATCCCTACCACGGCTATCTCATATTCGAGAAGAGGGAAGAAGAAAAACACCCCCCAACTTACCGAATCCACGAAAGAGAAGACACAAACAAAATCACCATGTCGACGCCTAACAACGAGAAGGAGCAATATTCTTCCCCGGCCTTCGCCCTCAATCGACCGGCCACCATCGACACCGATCGCTCGTCGGACGAAGATGGGACATTGCGAGGCCACGAAGCCGAGGACGAAGTCGACCGGAACCACCTGCGAGCTACCACAAGCCATGTCTCGGGCCGGCAGAAACTTGCGGATCTCAACTCTCCCAGGTCCATATCAGCACAAAGAGACCAGGCTCGCCGTTTAGACGATGACTTGGCAATGCTACAAGCGGAACGAGTTGTTTCCAACGCAGCAAATTCGGAAAATGACGTCAACCTAGGACGATCGAAGTCTATGGCTAGATCACGCTCAAGAAATGCGTCAGAACCCGTGGACGATTTCGATATCGATACCACCCCGATACACGAAAAGACGAAGATATACAAACCACCTGCTCACCCCACTACAAAGTTCGCCAGAGTATTCAAGAAAATTCACCAATCAGTGTTCTTTGTGCGCTGGTTCTTTTACATTGCGCCGGTGGCGGCGATTCTCTCGATTCCGATTGCTTTGGGTTTTGCCCAGTTCGACCGGGCTTCGGTTGGAGGTGTGGAGCTGGCTTGGTTTGGGATCTGGCTCATGACTGTCTGGCTGAACCTATGGCTCGGCAGGGTGAGAAAATCCCCCATTCTCCTAATTCTGAAAGCTCATTCATCACGTCCCATTCTCCCAACTCTGAAAGCTAACTCATCATGTAGCTGATCGCAATGTCTCTGCCTTACCCAATGGGTCTGATATCGAGCACTTTCACGAATAACAGCAAGAAATGGAGAGACCTAGGAAAGGCTCTCGAAGTCCCAGCTACCCTTTTCTTCTGGGCCCTGGCCGTCGAGATCTCATTCCTGCCCACCATGAAGAACCACCACTTGAACGGCGATAAGAGCACCAGGCCATGGGAGAAAACGGTCAACAAGCTCCTCATCACACTGCTTGTCGGACTGACTCTGAACTTTGTCGAGAAGATCATCATTCAATTGATCGCCATTAGCTTCCACCTCCGGACATACGCGGATCGCATCGAGGTGAACAAGTTCCAGATTTCGAGTTTGGTCAAGCTGTATGTGTTTTCCAAGGATAAGATTGCAATGGAGGACTCGGAATTTGAGGTTGATAGTTCCGGAATGGATGCTGGAACGCGAACTCCAATGCAATATGTCAATAAGGCCCAGAAGAATGCCCGTCAGGTCTTTAACCGGGTCGGAGACGTTGCAGGAAAGGTGGCGGGGGATTTTACGGGTAATGCTGTCAAGTCTAGTACCCATCCCCATCAGGTGTATGCTTTACGACATGGCCCCCATCCCCCATCCTCCATCATGTACCCGGCTAACCCACTCCAGTGTCCTTCAACTTCTGAACAGCACCAACGGATCCCAAGTCCTTGCTCGCCGTCTTTACCGCACCTTTGCGCAGGAGGACTCGGAAACAGTTCTTTCCGAGGACCTTCGCCCCGCGTTTGGCAACGATGATGAAGCCACTGCGGCCTTTTCCATGTTCGACAAGGACCTCAACGGTGATATCTCCATGGAAGAACTGGAAGCAGTCTGCGTCGAAATCGGCCGCGAGCGCAAAGCCATCACGGCCTCGCTCAAGGATCTCGACTCCGTGGTCTCTAAGCTCGACGACGTCTTCATGTTCATTGTGTTCATCATCACCATCATTGTGTTAGTTTCCATCATCTCGACTTCCGCGTCCGGGGTTTTGACCTCGGCGGGCTCGACCCTCCTCGCTCTTTCCTGGCTCTTCTCGGCCACCGCACAGGAATTCCTGCAATCCTGCATCTTCGTCTTCGTCAAGCACCCCTTCGATGTCGGAGACCGAGTGACTATCTATGGAAACACAGGGTCCCAGCTGAAAGGAGACGACTACTTCGTCAAAGAGATCGCCTTGCTATACACCGAGTTCAAGAAGATGGAAGGCCACGTCGTGCAAGCGCCCAACTCCTACCTCAACACGCTCTTCATCCTCAATCAGCGCCGCTCCGGCGGTCTCGCCGAAGCCGTCCCCGTCACCGTCAAGTTCGGCACCACGATCGACCAAATCGATACCCTTCGCGCCCGCCTTCTCGAATTCGTTGGCTCCGAAAACAGGGAATACCAACACAACATCCTGACCGAACTCCGCGAGGTCTACGAAGCGCACTCCATCACGCTCAACGTCATCTTCTTCTACAAGTCCAACTGGCAGAACGAGCTCCTGCGTTTGCAGCGCCGCAACAAGTTCATCTGCGCCCTGATGGTCACCATGAACGAGGTCGGGATGGAAGGACCCCGTATGCGACTCGCGGGAGCTAACGCAAATTTCCCCATGCACTTGTATGACGCGTACCCCCATAAAGAGCAGAACCCTGCCAACGACCCCCTCGTCCCCTCCGACCCTGGGCCGCGTTCTGGTTCTCTGGCGCGAGAGACCCATTTTGATGCTACTGCTCCTCAACAGCCTCAACGCCACACATCCATCCTTCGCAACAGAGCGGATTCCCAGGCTCGCCAGCGCGGAGAATCTATCGGCGCGATGAGCAAGCGTGTCGACTTCTCCCTCGGCGTATCCGCCATCTCTAGCGGAGCTGATTTCGGTGACGTCTACGAAGACCGTAAGCCTATCGTTCTTCCCCCCCGCATAACTACCACCGAGCCCCCTTCGACAACCCGCCATAGTCACGACCGTGGGAGCGAAGGTCACGGCCTCGACAGAATGTCCACGCACGAGTCAAGCAACAGTAACGTCCTGAGCACGGCCGGATCGAACAAGATCCACCGCAACCGCTTCTTCGGGCGTGGCCGTGGCAGGTTCGGCATGGCGGAAGACGGGACCCTGCTCGACGATCTAGAGGCAGCCGGCATGAGGGCTGTCGATGACTTGCCTGATATTCCCGAGACGAGTGGGGCAAACTCGGGGAACATGGCGGGACAGTTTAATCGCCAGGCCAACCAAACGGGCTCTGCGGGACGTATCGACCCTCGGACTGGCATGGTCAGCCCTCAAGCCGTTGCGAGGGATTCTGCGCACGAGAGAGGGGAATTGCCGACGGTGGGTAAGAGGCCGCAGAGGACAATGACAGAGATGTTTAAGAAGAGGTAGTTGAGGAGAGGGGGGTAAGGCAATAAGCGAGGAGACTCAGCTTGATGGGATGAGGGAGTAGATGCATAGATGGGCAGGTTATCTTCGGGGGTGGTTGACCAGCTGGCTGCGTATTTCCGGCAGGTGAAAAACGAATTTTTCTCTCCCTCCCAGTCAATGGATGGGGGAGGTTGGTATGTAGGTAGGAAAGGTGATGCGAGGTAATATACACACCTCAATTGGTGGTCCGTGCGCCCTAGCGCACCTTGTAGAGGTCCACCACACTCCCTATCTCTTGTCTCTACGGACTCAGCAGGCTTGCAAAACAGATACAGCATAGAATGAATAGAGTATTATAGGATAGCATGTCTCGACTGCTTTGTCGATGATATAGAGGATAGACTTATCAATAGAATAGAATAGAATTTTTTATATCGTATCTTTACTTCCTCTTCTTCCTCTTCTTCCTTTCTCTTCTTCTTCGTCCTTATTGGCGTTTTCTTCTTCTTTTTTCTTTTCTTTACTGCTTAAGATAATCTCGTGTAGGGGGATGGGTATTTGTTGTTTTCTATGTAAATAGATAGGTTGGTATAGAGATGGGTAGATGGGTAGATAGATGATGATTTGGAAGAGTAAATCACCTAATATATCCTCAACTTCCGATCCAAGCAAGGCCTCAAGCGTAAGCTTTCAGAAGATAGACATTTGTTAACCGTTATCAGAGGCTAGGCTTGTAGTCTGTGTCCTTAGCATGCTCGTCCTCTTATCTTCAATGTCTTATTTGTTCTTCCCGCGACTTTGCTCTAACCCGCTTGTTCATAAACGAAAACTTGGAATCAAAGTCTTTCCTCGTTATCATCTTCTTTTCTCTCGGCACTGCACTTCTCTGCCTTCTCAAAGAAGACACACATTTGCTGGGCCGAAATAAGGACAGCTCCGTGCGGGGGTGCCCCTTCCCAGTTCTTCTCGGGTGCGAAAGTCCGTAAAGGTATCCCGAGAAATCTGTTGAGAAAGGAAGTCGTTTCGCCGTTGCTGGTGCGGAATGGTTCTGCAGAGATCAATTATCTATTGTCCAGTGACATGGATAAACAACTCCAGATGTGTGATATACCTGTGGATCCATGACTGCCTTCGCAATTAGGCACTCATTCCCTTCTTCGTCCACCTCTGTCGCTGGCATCCGAATTGGCACCCGTGGTCACCTTGCCCTTGGGCCCATACTCTAGCTTTTTGGAGATGTGATCTGGTCGTCGACGGCGTTTGCGTGGACGAGCAGACATTGAGCTGCTGAAAGAGATGGGAAAAACGAAGAGGGAGAGGGAGACAAGAGGATGATGATGGTGCTTTAGGGCGAGTTAAGCTGCGGAGGAGTTGTCGTAACTAATTGCAGAAGGAGAGAAGGTTGGCAAAGAGCGGATGAACGACTCGGTTGGAAGACGTGAGCAGATAACCTTCCTGCTGACTAGCTACATGTAGTGCGTCACGGTATCACGTGGCTAGTTATGCCAGCTTCGCCCTGATGTTATGCTTAGGAGGGAGACATTCCGGGCAGTGGAATCTAACGTCGAAATGGAAACTAAAATGACAACAACTTCTCCGGAACTTTATATATTGCCTCCCACCACGCATCACCAACACACGCTTGTCCTTCTACACGGCACATCCATGACCGGACCGTCGTTCGCATCATCCTTTCTGCCCACCCAGTTCTCGTCGCCAAAGCGATCTGAATCGAGACTTGAGGCGACCAAGATTACGTTGCCCATGTACTTTCCACATTGCAGATTCGTCTTTCCGACAGGAGCACTCAAGGAAACCACGGTCTTCGGTGGGAAAAAGACTAACGCTTGGTTCGATATCACGGATTTTAGCGATCGTACGAAAGGCGAGGTGGAAATGATAAAGGGTATGAGGGACAGTACTCTCTACCTATCCAGGTTGATCAAGGATGAGATCGAGCTTCTGTATGATGGAGAAGAACGAGGGACCAAAGGAAAAGTGATGCTGTTAGGTTTCAGTCAGGGGTCGGCAATGGGCATGATGCTCCTACTGGGTGGCGAGTTGCAGCGTATGGGAGTCTCGCATGGCTTTGGTGGGTTTGTTGGGCTGAGTGGATGGCTCCCATTTCGGCGTCAAATCATGGACGCGATCCTGGACGGATCCCCAAAGACATCCACGGCAGAGGATATCGCTACCCACGGCGAGAGTGCGATGATCTTCGTCCGAAAATTGCTTGGTCTTGATCTTGCTGGCCAAGAATGGAGGCCGACGCCGAAGGCATTCGATGTGCCAATTTTACTTTGCCATGGAGAGCTTGATAGAAAAGTCAGACTGGAATGGGGAACGCAGCTAAGAGATGTTTTGCAGACGTTAGGAAATAATGTCAGCCTGAAGACTTACCACGAACTAGCTCATTGGTGGTCTGAAGATGAGATGAGAGACGTGGCAGAATTCCTGGATGAGAGGTGGCAGGGCAGAGAGGAAAGGGGCGAGTAGGCTCATAGTATTTAACGAGACTGCGTCGACATGTCTGCTCGGGACTGATCACATTGCGATCGGCAGCTGTTGAAGCTGTTTTCCTTGCGTAGAAGATGTAAAGGGTGAACTTGAGGCTAAGGTTTGATGGAGCCTCAGGATATTCTGTTCTCTCATCTCGGCTCTGCAACTAATCAGTGGCCATTTTCGCGGTTTCCCACGAGATTCCTCCTCGTGTCGCAACACACAAGCCACTGTCTTATAGCAAGACTATCGCGAAGAAGCGTCTCAAGTATTTGCATTGAGTTGTAGCGAAAGCAAATCGAAGTTTTATCAAAAAAACGGAATCGATATAATGCTTCGCAGCAAAACTGGTCGGTCTTTTTTTATATTACGGCTAGTAAAAGTAATATGATAATAGCTATTAGACGTACGCTACGTAATATGAAAAAAAAAAAAAAAAACGAGGAGGGAAGAATTACAAAACAAGACCGAATGTATATGCATCCCTTAGAGCGGGATGTTTATATGACCTCGGCTGACTAATCCCACAACCAATCCCTGGAACCATGCCAAGACCTGCCAGGACCGTAACAGCTAGGTAGTTTACAAACGATATTTCTTATCGGGCTACGCCTACGAGATATTGCGAAACCAATTGCGATCCAAGAGCAGCATAAGGACTATTTCTACAATAACTTGGCTTTCAAGTTGGCTCGAGAGCAAGTGTTTCTTTTGGTTAATATAAATCCTTGAGAGAAACAAACCGATTACAGTTTGTTTCTCTCAAGGGCCGGCCTCGCGGATTAGCAGATGACCTTCAAAGAATTCGCCGCCAACACCTGGTCCGTCTGTTCCAGTTTCCGTCCACTTACAAACAAAAACTCAGATTCATACCTGTAGATAGTTTCAAATCAAGTCAGAAGAATAAAGAGCACCGCGTGAGCGGCCAAAGGTAATGCAAGGTAGTCTCCGTCTACGGTTTACCTTTATCGACGCCCTAGCATGCCCATCGGAGTCGACTAGCTTTCGAGAACAGGCTCTCCCGAAGATAAGAAATCACGACTGTAAATCTACCTTTCAAAGACCAAAAGGTAGGGTGCCGTTTGGAGTGACACTGCCCTATATCAAGATACATTGTAGCTGGCATATCATTGGCTGGGTTCTTTGAAGATTTGGGGTTTCCCGAATCGAGCAGGCTTCCATTTGGCCAGGACCTTATATTGAGACCCAGACTTCAGTCTATATTGTACACTTGCGCAACGCGCAGCCTGGATTCGATAGTTTCGCAAATTGCCTGCCAAGCTATATCAAAATAACTGGACTTCCAGCAGCTCATCCTCGGACGGACCATTTGCCATGCCGCAATAAATCCTCGAGGGAATGGGCAAACATGCGAAACAAAACAGACCGAGATCCTGCAGCAACTTTGTAATCAGCAGCGGACAGAACACCAGCTCCTTCGACCAAATATGAAGTTTGGAGCCGTAAGAAACATACAGCCGCCACGCCAATCCCAACGATGGTGATATCACCTATCAAGCCCTCATGGCGGTTTCGTCCGCTTTTCGTCACTACTCGAGCTTCCGAAACCCAGAATTGCTCCTACCAACCCCCCTGGTTTCGGTACCGGACATTCTCTCTTCCCTCTCTTTGCTCCCGCGTCCTCCGCATCATCACTGCTCTCCTCCGTCGCAGACCCATCCTTCAAACTTGCACCGTCGTCCCTGATCTCATCAATAGGGAACTTTCGCTTTCTCCGCCTCCTGCCCGACTGTGGATTTCCGTCATCTGCATATGCAACCCTCGGTGCTGGACATGGCAGCGCGTGTGGGAGGGCGACGACGAAGAAACTCGCAAAAAGAGTAGTTGCGAAGAGAGAGGAGGTGAGTCGGCTCCGCGGGTGCATATGAGGTGGCATAGAGCCGAATGGCTGAGAGAAGTAGATAAAGGTAACTTTGAAACCAGCCTGTCCTGCCGATGGAGGCGGCGACGACCTTAAGCTCGTGAAAAGTAGGCGATCGGTGCTCTGTTGCTTCGTCAATAAAAAAACGTACCAACTGCCCAAATTAATGTTTAGAATACCTATCGCGGCAATGGAGACGGGGAAAATTTCATGCCGTGGTGTTTCTGGTTGTAGATATTTTTAAAGGATGGAAATAGGATTGAGATGATGGCTCGGGTGTTGCGGTTGAAGCTTACCTATTAGACTAGCGCCGGGCCGTAGTGGAATGCCGATGCACGAGGCCAAAAGTTCCACGCCGATAAGTCCGTAAATACCATGAATCGAACTCACACGCAAACTCATTCCACAACTGCCTGATTTTTTTTCATCACCTTCGTTTGTCCATCTTCCGTCTTATACTTCGGTAGTGCAGGCCCGCAATCCAATTCAATCCGACATCTTGCAGCTGCAAGCCGACGTTCGTTGACCTGAACTAGGCCTCGATGCGCCGGGGGCTCTGTAAGCTTCAACCCAAGACCAGGGCATAGGATAGAGTCTTGCGCCACAACACTTCACAGGCGTCCGCCGACCCGCAGTGTTCATTCCAGCAAAGCCGAGATGAGTGACTTGGATAGGTAATGCAGACTGACACCAAGACGTTCCTTATCCGAAAGCATTCTCCTAACGCTCGACAGAGCGATTGCGCAATTGCGCGCATGCCGACCAATTCCAGAAGCACAAGTCCGAGAGCTATGCCACAAAGCAAGAGAGCTGCTGATCGAAGAAGGGAACGTTGTGACTGTGACAGCGCCAGTAACAGTATGGGTTCAAGTCGTATACAGGGAAAGCTGTACTGACGGCATCGCAGATATGTGGAGACATCCATGGCCAATTCCACGATTTGATGGAACTCTTCCGGGTCGGCGGTGATGTTCCAGATACGAACTACCTGTTCATGGGCGATTTCGTAGACCGCGGCTTCTACTCTCTCGAAACCTTCCTCCTCCTCTTGTGCCTCAAAGTCCGATATCCAGACCGAATGACCCTGATCCGAGGCAACCACGAGTCCAGACAGATCACAACAGTATACGGCTTCTATGATGAGTGTCTCAGGAAGTATGGAAGTGCAAATGTCTGGAGATATTGCTGTGAAGTCTTTGACTACCTGGCCCTAGGAGCTCTTGTTCTCGGAGCCTCCAGCAGCCTTGAGCCCTCGAAGCACAAGGTCGCCGGTAACAAATCGAACAGCCTTACTTCCACGCAGGAGATTATCGATCCTGATACAGAGATTGAGGTCTTGAATTCCGAAGGGGGTATCATAAGTAGCATTCCAAGACGAAAGGGGAACACCACATCACCAGCGAAAACAGGCCCACCAGGTTCAGGAGCTTCAGGGTTCAGCAGAGGGTCAACGGGAAATCCCAGCGGGGCCATACTTTGCGTTCATGGAGGTCTTTCGCCATTGATCGACACGATAGACAAGATCCGATTGTTGGACCGTAAGCAAGAAGTCCCGCATGAAGGGGCCATGTGTGATCTCCTCTGGTCAGATCCGGACGAGATCGATGGATGGGGCTTGTCGCCACGAGGGGCAGGATTTCTGTTCGGAGCCGATATCGTCAAAGTCTTCAATCACACAAACAACCTCTCCATGATTGCACGAGCCCATCAGTTGGTTATGGAGGGTTTCAAGGAAATGTTTGACAACAGTATCGTAACGGTCTGGTCAGCTCCAAATTACTGCTACAGATGCGGCAACGTAGCTGCAATCCTGGAGCTGGGCGAAGATGGCACCGGCGACGGTATCGTTCAACGAAGCAATGGGGATGTAAACAGGAGTGACGGTGGACTGAAGGAAAAGCAGAGGGTTCTGATGAGTGGTCCAGCCAGAAGATATCGGGTCTTCCAGGCGGCTCCACAAGACTCGAGGGGCATGCCAGCAAAGAAGCCTGTGGCTGATTATTTCCTTTAGTTACGATGCGATGACGGCGAAGGAATGCTGAGGGAAATGAATGATAGATGGCTCATGATTTCATATATGCAGAAAAGAGCATGGGCGCATGGTGTATTGGTGCTTCTAAAGCTCCAGAGTGTGTAAAATAACATGATTTTCAGGAAATCCAATATTCTTGTGCCCACTAAAGGTGTAGTTGGACTTGGAGCAGTAATGTCCTGATTCAATGCAGTATTGACCCTGACTGCCACTTGCGTTTTTCGGTATCGTATCATCTGAGCAGTCCAGCATTGAATTCACATTGGTAACTGGATCATTTGGATGAGTGTAGATCACATGACGCATATCTTGACTGCTCTCGAAAAGTCTCTGGGAGTCGTCAACGCGGAGCCCTTGGACAACAACGATGCCCACCACCACAACTGTCGTGCCAATGCTCCGCAGGATATTTACACCATCCGTACGGATGCCTATTCTCACGCCCTTCCCAACCCCTCCCTCTCTAAGCCGCCGCTTTTCTGCAACTCCAACCCCATTCGCAACCTACAACCAAGTCGCCAAGGTCAATATCTTCTCCTAATGTCTTTTTCCCCTTTCCTGCTACACATACTTACAAGAAGCAATGTAGGGCTGCCGCGTCGCCCAACGCGCACGAAAAGCCGTCTCCCCCGCCCTGCGCGATGTTAACGCCCCCGAACTGAAAGGCGTCTGCCTCAAAGTCGGCATCACCAAACCCAAGAAGCCCAACTCGGCAGAACGCAAGACGGCCAGGGTCCGATTGAGCACAGGGAGAGTGGTGACGTGTTATATCCCGGGGGAAGGTCATAATGTGCAGCAGCACTCGGTGGTGTTGGTTAGAGGGGGCAGGAGCCAGGACTGCCCGGGTGTGAGGTATCACTTGGTCAGAGGGGCTATGGATCTGGTGAGTCGGGAATATTGGGGAGAGAGAGGAGAGAGAGATTCAGTGAGGCGTGGATCGAATTGGGGCTAACAACGGGTCCTGTAGGGTGGTGTTGGGAACAGAGCGACGGCACGGTCGAAGTATGGGACGAAGAAGCCAAAGGCTGCTGCTACGTAGAGCGGGCGATGGGAGAGAGGCGGCGGGAGAGAATCCTGGTCATAAGAGGACAGGGCGAAGGCATTGATGGCGTTGTTGGAATCTCGAATGGGTCTGTATGTTCACATACTTGTACAAAAAGGAATGGGAATGAATAGGAATGGCTTGATAGAGAGCAATAGAGGCCAGACAAGTATTGCGTGAAGCGTCGCTTTGTGAATCAATTTTAGCCTTAGATTTGCATAAAATTCTTGATATCTTGTCAAGCCGTCACAGGGAGGAGGACCTCCTACTAAAATCGGTTGAATGGGGGGACGCGTCGTGGTAGAGAGGAAACCGGGTCAGGTGAGAGACAGACTCAAGCTCAGGCTGCTGCAAAAATAGCCCTGAAGACGACTGAGTGCAGAACAAGACCTAGCCAAGTAGATCAAGCAAATAGAACAAGCAAGCAGAACTCCAAAGCTAGTTTTCCTTAGCCCAAGGTATTCCAACCCCTGATATTTTCTACACACCCGTATATCATACAGAACACACCCAACGCCGCCGTTCCATGCCCGGGGATGAGTCCCTAGATCCACGTCTCTGAAGGAAAAAGAAGGCCCCTCTCTTTTTAATCATACACAAACGCTGCTTAATCTTGCTGGTTCTCATACCCCTCTGGCTTCTCCAAACCGTTTATGTCAAAGAATCGAGACGTGCCTAAGAACTTAGTGTTAGAGACGTTGTTGAGCGCGAGCCCGTGCAATTACTTACAGGAGTATCCTTTCCAGTCAAAGTTTTCCTTTGGATTGCAGTGGCATTTCAGCTCCAGTCTCGTCTTCTCCCCAGTAGGACAGTGAGTGAAAGGTACGTGATAGTATGCAATGTCATTGAAGAAATGAATTTCTTCTTTTTTCAACATCAGACCGGCGGCAATTGAATGGACCGGGGCATCACCCCATCGTTCGTAGAAAAATCCTCCGTCTTGGTCAAGAGTCTCGAAGTAGTCAATGTATGCCTTGGACCGGAGCCAGTCGAGGTTTCCAACTTCAAAGTTGGACCACTGTATAGTTGTGTTAGCCAAGCTGCAGCATAGACTCCGGCAAGTGGCTTACCATGTGGCAGTTATTGTAGGAATCTCCACCGTCATCACTCAGGAATCCCATGGAGTTTCCTTCTGCAATGTGTTCGGGGTGTGCCTTTATATACTTCTTGGTACTTTCCCAGAGGGTAGGGATGGTCTCTACGTATTCGTAAAGGCTGAGTACGAAACTGTACTTCTTCTTGTTGTCGGCCATGAACTTGAAGACATCATAATTGATGTCGCAGTACAGCTCAATGCTTGGCTCGACTCTCCAGTACCATTCGTAGTTGTTCATCAGGGGCTGACGAAAGAAGAAGCCAGACTCGAACCTGCACATGTGACGGTAACTGATAGAATCTCCATAGATGATCTTCCTCTCCGCCATATCCTCTCGAACCTTGCGAGCCCTGTCCTGGTCAATGTGTTCGGGGAATGACCAATGCTCCCTTGGGATCTCTCCATAGTGGGTTTTGCCTGAGCAAAGGGACGCTGTGACTTTCTTGAATGTGGCGTCGAAGGGCTTGTCATTCAGGAAGACCCAGTCGTAGTGGAACTTCCTATTAAACCTGTCTTCGACCTGACGGATGGATCGTGCGATCTCCCAAATGTCCGAATTTCGTGCCAAAGTGACAAATGTGGCATTCATCCGCGGTCCGTCTGCGGTTGCGTCTGGGAACCCTCCCGGTACATTGGGCGTGAATCCAGTCGCAGAAGGAGCAGCAGCACCTGCGTCTGCGTCTGCACTTCCGGGACCGGCTTTCGTAGGCGCATTACTGTATTCCTTTCCATTGCTCAAGAGATCATTCGTGCTCGGTAATCGTTGATCTGAGGAGGAGGATATGAAGTAAATGACCGTGAGCAACTACTGAGAGTGAGCATGTGCTTTGCAAGGCCAGCTGGCACACGGAGGTAGGAAAGGACAGGATGAGACGTACGAAGAAGGTGAAGAGAATATATCTCAGATATCTTGCGGTTCCTGTTGCCATATTTTAGAAGATGTGAATGACGACAATAAGGAAAATCGAGGACCCGTTGGGTTGGGTTTGGTTGAGTTGAGATGAGTTGTCGCTTCGTTTCGTAACCAAGAACGAGTCCGCAACCGGCGGTTGTGAGCTTGACCTGAAGCTGGTGAGCAGTAGAAGACCAAAGGGAGAGAAGTCGTAGAGAGTGAGCTCTCTGATCTCGAGTTGTGGACAGACTCGCCGCCCCGTGTATGCAGGGGTAAAAAGTATTGCTCAAGGGTGTGGCTTCGGCTGGGGGTGGGGGCGACTAGGCTAGATCGGGCTAGACCAGGCTAGACCAGGCTAGATCATTCTGCTTCAACATCTTCATTTACATTCACCACAACACCTATCTCTAGTTCGACCTCCACGTCTACATCCACATTTCTCAAACTCGAACTCGAAGTCGAACTCGAACTTGAACAGCTTTTGACCCTCGAGAAACCAAAAACGAACAAACAAACAAAAAATCCATACAGATATACACATACAAATACACCCACACATCAACACACACCTGAATTCCTCCTCGAATTGCGCTAAGCTCCGAAAACTCCCTACCCACCTACCTACCTATCCTACCTCCTACCTACCTACCTACCTACCTACCTACCTACCTACCTTGGTCTTACCTTTGCTTTCTTCCTCCCTCATGGGCCCTCCTCGCATCGAAGCATTCCCAAGATAACGCCACACCACGACGCTCGTGGCCATGTCTTTCTTCGGCTTTGACTCCTCCCTCCCCCGCCATCGCGATTACGATCAAGATCACGGCCACAATCGCAACCACAACCCCGTCCACAACCACAACACTGCCGCCCCGGGCTTCTCACAGGCTGCAGACCCATTTGCAGGCCTCTCTCGACATGAAGATGACGATGATGCGTGAGTTGGGCGCTCTCTCTTACACCTCCACCTCCACTTCCACTTCCACCTTCACCTCCCCCCTTCCCCCTCTCTTACCTCCCTCCTAGCGCTGATCAGGTGGCCTTCTCTGCAGACTCAACTTTGATGATACATATGATGGACTTGGGGACCAATTGGACGAGACGGATGATGCCTTCAACGACGATACCTTTGGTGGCGGTCCCTCGGAAGCAGCTCCTAAGCCTGTAGGCAAGGACTTTGATTTTTTCGGTCAAACTGCAAAAGTCTCGGACGCCATCAGCGAGGAGCAGGCGCGCTTCACTCGACAGCAGCCCATCTCGAAGGTGATCCCGAATCCTTCGGCACATGCGCAGCAACAGCAGAGACCGGTACGAACTGGCTACGAACGATATAATGAGCCGGAGTACGTCCCCGACATGCAGGTTGACGCCAATTTGTGGGGTGTTGCACCCAAACGTAATGCGCATGTCCCAGCTGCCGAATCTCTTCCAACCCCTGGCCTCGTTCCTGCTGGCCGAAAGATGATGAGTTTGGAGGAAGTTGAGGCGGCCATGCGAGCCCAGGTCAAGAAGCCAGCTCAAGCACAGCAGCAACAACAGTACCTAGCAACCAGCCCTGCTCAGCATCCACAACAATACATTCATCCTTCTCAACATTCTCAGCCGTACATTCCACAGCAGTCCCAGCCACAATTCCCTGTGCAAGCTCGTGGTCCTCAGCGCGACGGAACGAGCCCAGCGCCAGCTGGCCAGCCTGTTCACATTTCGCACCGATCGCAACAGCAGCCATCCGCGCAATCCGCTAATCAAGCAGGTCCATCCCCGCCGACCTACATCTTGCAAAACCCGAACCGTTTCCCTACTGAGCAAAACAGACCGCCCCAAGCTGGACGGAATCCCAGTCATCAGCAGCAACATGGCCACCAGTCGCGACACTCTGGTTCTCGGCACATTATTACTCACCCTGATCAATTCACTACCATGTCCGAGGAGGAGAGAGCTGTATTTCTTTTGGAGGAAGCCAAGAGAGCGAAGCGAAATCACAAGATATTTCTGCTTTCTCGGGATAATGGGCTGATGACCCCTCAAGACAAGAACTTCATTACCCGAATCCAATTACAACAGCTCGTCACGGCGACCGGCAATCCCAACGAGCACGGAACCGATTTTGGCCTGTCCGAGGATTTCTACTACCAAGTGCATAATCAGATTCGTGGAGGTCCCCGCCAACACCCTGGCCAACCGCTGAGCAACTTTGCGCAGACCTACCTTTTTCAGACTGGAGGTCGTCACGGTGGTATGCGCCGACAAGCTCGAGGTGGTGACAACCACATGCAGCGCATGGAGCAACAAGTCCAACGAGCTGTTGAAGCCGCCAAGAACAAGCCCAAAATCAAGCAGTTGGTCATTGAGGGAAGCTTGGGGAAGATCTCTTTCAGCAATGCTAAGACACCAAAGCCGCTCCTCAACATCAAGCGCACCGATAGCGGAACTGATGCAAACCGACCCGGAAGTTCTTATCGTGACCGCAAATCTCATCTTGCCGGCGTAAGCGGTAGCGACAGAAAGACTGTTCTGGCCGACATCGAGAGCGTTTACAACACTCTGATGAAAATGGAGGACCATGATCGGCACATTCCTCCACCGCTCAACGAGGATATCAACCCAGAACTTGTCGGGCTTCACATGAATTGGCAAGAAAAGGCTCAAAAGCTGAACAGTCAACTCTGGTTCCAACTGAAGGTTCATGAGCCTATTGGCGCCACCACCACTCATCCTTTCATCGCTTTTTTGTCGTTTGCTAAGGGCAAGAAGGCCATCCCCCGAGTCTTCCGACACGTCTCGCAAGAGCAACGCACCACTATTCTCACCATGATCGTCATTCACCTGGATCAACTTGATGTTGTTCGACATGCATTGCTGTTGCCAGGCGAGACCCAACTCAACGCTACGGTGCGCGAGAGCATCGACGTCTTCTCTTTGGCGGTGATGCCCCCTCTTTTCGGGTATCTCAACGAGGCGGGATTGGATATTGTTACAGGAGTTCTGGGACTCATTCTGAACATCAACGTTGACATGATTGCTCGGACGCGAATTGGTGTTAGTATGTTGACCATGATTTTGAGTCGGGCAGAGCTTATCAAGCAAGCTGGAAGTGTCGACGAACGAGAGTGGCAAGAATGGTAAGCTCCCACGTACTGAGCGCTTCAACGAACGTTTTCTAACCAGGAACAGGGTGGACAAGTATAACGCATTCTTCGATGCTCTCGAGCCATCCCTTCCCAGCATCTTCCCGGGCACTGTCAATACCGGCGAGGACATCTACGTGTGGCAATTCCTCGCGGCCATTGGCATCGGTGCGAGTCCTGAACAGCAGCAACGTCTTGTCATGGCTGTCAAGGATCGTGTCATGGAAACTGTCAACCTTGCCAAGACCCTCCCTCCAGCGATGTCGAGCCAGCGATTGGCAAACGTCAACCTCTTTATGCGTTCAATTGGATTGGATGTTGAGTTACTTGCGTGACGGAAACGATACGACGTGTTTATTTAAATTTACCAGCACTAAATTTTCGATTATTAGAGGATATCTCAAGGATCGAAAGGAGGGAATGGTCCGGGGGAGATATGATGGGCATACTTTGGCTTTCGGCATCAGCATTGCCTTGTTTCAGCGGAGCGATTACTGCAGAGGCTGAGCTTATGGATTGAGGACAGGGATGAAAGCGAGGGCTTACGATTTTGGCGGCTGGAAGCAGTATAATTTATGATCCGGTTCATTTCGGATGTGGTTGAGATGTGCTTCACTGTCTCTTATCAGACCGTGTGCCACTGGAAGGTGTGGCTGCGGGCTGGGGCCCGAAAAATGAACAACATGAAATGAACCCCTTTTTGGGCCAACACTTTTCATTTTGATTCTTAATCTAAACTTGTGTCTGTAAATTTTCCGCGGATTGCTGCGCCGCTGTTCTTCAAATTATTTCTTCCTTTGTATCGTCGATGGACAGACACTAAGTATTCTCTCGGCTATGAGGTTTTCTTGAGCGCTACTTCGTACATAAACACATCTCCGAAGGTAAAGGGTAGTCCCCTTCAAAAGTCCACCCAACCCTCCACCAATCTTTCCCATTGTTATCCTCATTGTCATCAGCCTTGCTGAGCCCACCCCTGTTCATGAACAGATCTTCTAGCAAGTATCCAGCATGCTAGCCAAAGCTTCCTTCTCCTCGTCCGTAATGGTCAAGTTGTAGGCTGACTTGACCTTCGTCCAGGATTTGGCGTAAGTGCAGTGGAATGAGACCTAAATTGACGCCAAGATTAGGCGTGATCAGCAGGTCTTCTTGAAATGAATCTAATCGGAGCATGAAATCAATGCTGCTTACCAACGGGGGCTTCCAGAACGCTTCCTCGCTGTCCTCCTTCTCCTCGTGGATGTCGTCGGTCACGACCCAGAGTTGGGGCTCGTTCAAATCGTTGGCCAACTTTTCCCTCTCCTGCGTCGTCCATTCTGAGGCACCGGACCTCCAGGCGTTGAGCAAGGGGACCATCTCATCAATTTCGACATCCAGTGGAAACGTCGACTGCAAAGAGCGGTTAGAAAAAAAACATTAAAAAGCTTGTACGACTACGACGACGATGACGACGACGACGATCAGGGGCAGACGGGGTAGTGGGGCTCTTCTTACGTTGATTCCGTCATACGGAGAGTACCATATCCCGGAGACCGGGGCACAGGCTTTGTTGACGACGACGTCGATCCCGTCACGCCGCAGGACCTCCTCCCTGGCGTTGCAATTCTCTACCACGGGATCCCACTAGATGGATGGATCGGGGATGTTAGCCATGGCAACTGGGTCCGCTTCTTAATTCCACGCATGGGGGGGGGGGGTAGTAAGGAGGGGGATTCTTGCGTACGAGAGGAAAGAGATCATCGTCGAAGCCATCTGCGGGACCCTGGGGTGCGACGACCAGCTGGTCGAGGAGCGTCTTTGCCGTCTCGGTGGTAGGGATATCCGGAGGTGCGTGAGGTTCGGGACGTTCCGAGAAGACGCCAGTTGACAGGAGGAGGGTGCTGAGGAGCGTGAGGGAAACCATGATGATGCTGGGCCGGCGTCGATTTATTAAGGTGAAGTAAATTTTCTAGTTTGGCTGGCTTTCGGGGGTTGGAGAGGAGGAGAGATGGGGGCGAGATGGGCGAGATTGACAGAGCAAACAGTATTCGAGGCGTGAAGGGAGAGCGGGCTTTTATATATCGTACATCCAATTCGTTCACACAGCCCCTGGCTATCGAATCTCGAAGATGTCGCTTTTCGTTGCTTTGCTTTGCTCTGCGCGTGCTCGGCTATGCTGAAAGGTCGTCACGTCTGGTTTGTTATCCCTCGAGAGAATTGCGTGCTGCGACTCTCTTCATAAAGTAATGGCTTCGTTGAAGGTTCCCACCGGCTTTGATAGATAGGTCGAGCGTCACCGGCATCCCGATTGTCCCCCCTGGACCCCGAGTCCCTGTTCGAAGGATCAGAAACATCATCGGGCACGTCAATCTTTGTTGCTCCCCCCGACCCACGTGCACGACTTGGCGCTTTCCAGACCTGCTCCTTTAGGTTGGCATTAGGAAGTGGTGGCGCGAGGAAGTACGTAGTATCGTGCCCTCCGAGATCTGCAACGTGAAACCGGCAAGGGTGGATATATATATATATATATAGATCTACATGTATGTTTGTTTACATATACGTGGTACGTGTAAGACTATAGGTATGCGACTATAGGTACAATCCTCTAGGTATATGGATACATGTGTAATATTATAGCTATATAGGTGTGCCTACCATCTTCTTTTCAAGAAGACGGATCTGAAACCTTCTCAAGTCAGTCAGCGCCCTGTCAAAGGCCGGATTCGGTATTTTTCACCGAACACAGGCTTGTTGTCTGGGTCGTCTGTTGTATTCGTGCCGAGATGAGCGAGTATAAATTGCGGTATCCTGACTGTACTACCGTACCGCTAAGGTACCTACGGCTTGTACCTTAAACGCTTGATCAATCCAGATTCCAGGATCGGAAACTCAATGCCACGTCGACCCTCCGTAAGTCGCAGAAACTCTCGAGCTATGAATCATTCTCTGGGTCGGCTCTGGTCCTCAACATCATCATCACGGGGTCCGTTTGGTCAGTTGGACCTTGGTCAGCTGGTCCTAAGTCAGTCGGTCCTTGGTCAGTTGGTCAGTTGCGGTCGGGAATTTAGGAGAATTTAGGTAATTGGCCTTCGAAACCCGAGCCCAGCGCTGCAAAGGTGGCTCGGCCGCTGAGGATTGAAAGCTTGGGATCAAAGCTTGGGATCGAAGCTTGGGATGAAGCTTAGGATTGGGGGCTGGCTTATACAGCTACCGGTGGGTTACATAAAACTAGAGGTTAATCAAGGTTCAGAGGATCATCTGAAAGAATTCGGGAGTTCAGGTTGGGTCAGGTTATCTTATCTACCGTTGACACTACTGAGTGCCAGCCGTTGAAGCGCCAAAAAAAACGAGAGAAAAAAAAAAAGGGTCCCGGAAGCGATTTTCGGCAAAGAATCTACCTTTTCATCTTTAATTAAAGCATGGAATCCTTCGGGAATACAAGGCGATGGCCGTACACGTGGGCCGCTGAAAAAGACTTGGATCCCTCAAGTGGAAAGGAATCCGAGTCAAGCGCGGTTGTTTCATCCTGTCGATGACATATTAATATCTTTTCCTCTTTCTTCTTCATACGAGAAGTTTGTATGTATGTTGAAGATACCGGTATATTTTGCTGCCGCTGCCGCATACTACGTGATTGATAACCCAACGGTGGCAGCAGCTCTCTCGATCGTATCAAGATTATTCAAGATACCTCCTACCTACACACGACCAAATATACTCGTGTTAGGATTTCTAAGCCTCCCCCTCCTCCCCCCCCCCGTGCGTTCGTTGCATTGGCCTTCCTTCCTTTCCTTTCTTTTCCTTTCCTTTCTTTTCCTTTCCTTCCCAACGGATGCGATATCAAAAGTACTGATACCGGATTTTCGTATCGGTTCGATTCGCAACAGCCATCCTTCTCGAGAGAACCGCAGTCGGAGTCTAAAATGCCCACCTCGAGACGCGGATCAGGACGGACGGGCTCCTGGGCCGGTGAGAAGCGATCGACCGGAATTTCAGTCCGACGTTCCTCTATCTACAGAAAGATAGTATTGCCGCCGAGATACCGGAACGTGCTACCCAGAGAGAGATATCCAGACTCTCGCCACCTTCTTCGATCGCTCTACACCCAGTACCTGCCTATCTATGTTCGAGCCCGGGACCGGACACAGGTCCAACCTCTCTCAGTTGCAACTCCAACCGACGCAGCCGGTGTCTATCGATCCTTCGTTTGACTACGGTAGTTATGAAACAAAACGTCCGAGGTGGTCACCCCCTTCCCAAATTTCGGCTCTGACTCTTATCTCTCTCTATCTCGCGTATAGATTGTAGATTTACCCGCGTATCCCTCGCGTAATCCCTCAACCCGCGGCTCCGTCCTCGACTCCCGTCCAGTGTCATATCCGAAGCATGCATGACTTCCGAATCCTCCCTTTTTTTTTTCCGAAGAAGAACAAGAAGGAATCCCAAATTCAAGAATGCTGTCTATCACTACTAGGTACCTACCTACCCCTCCCTCCCGTCTTCTAAAGCCGGGTCGAGAAGTGCTTGCCAAAAAAAAAAAAAAAAAAAAAACCCCAACTACTCTGCTCTTTGGGTTTTCCAAACCCGCAGGAGATCAGCCCCAACGAAGAAGCCCTGCAAATGCCATTCTACAACCCAGAGTCTAAGGATCTCAGGGGAAAAGATCGCGCCTCGCAACGACGACAAGTAGACGTGGTACCACGCATGGTAGGAAAGGGGGGCGCCCCCCGGCGGGTTTTCCTTCCGACAGCGTCAAGGAAAAGACAGAAGCAGATCCGTGAGGGTACATACATACACACACACACACATGGATGGGATCCACCAGTTTCCCGCCGCCGTGCGAGACATGCGGGCGTCGATCACTGGACTGGACTTGAACCTGACCGGACTTACGTGCATCACCGACCGGCAGACGAGGTCTGAGATGTTGCCAACAGTGAAGGAGGAGAGGTAGCGAGAGATGTAATATACGCTAGCCCAGTGCCCGTCTGGTATTGCAAGTGCGTGCCGGGGTGGCGTGAAGCCTGCTCAAACCAACAGACTCGGAACGGGTATGTATTATGGCTCGATCTGGGCTCTCTTGTCTTTTTTTTTTTTTTTTTTTTTTCCCTTTTTTTCTTCATAGGGACGGATAGCCGAGCGAGAGGAGCTCCAGAGCGAGGAAGGCGATACTACCGGTACCTACCTACCTACCCGGTGGGTTCGGCATCGAGTAAGGCTGCTCGAGCAGGCTCTGGTTATGATCGGTCTAAATTAGTACATCTGATAAGCGAGGCGAGACGGGACGAGCGGAAAAGGAAATGGTAGGTGCGGCTCACCTGGACTCACTCTGATAGGGTACTCAATATATAGATTAATATATAAATTGATTCTACATTCAATAAAGTGGTCATGGAATCTAGAAACCCCCTGCTGTGTGGTTGGGCGAGTGCGAGGGAGGAGGTAGTCACGTGAGAACATCCCGTTCGGAGAATTTCATCTGCAACTTGTTTTACGTACTAGGTAATTACTACTGTATCCGGCTAGCAGCCCTGCCGCATCGACATCTACCGCACGCGTACCGATTATGCATTATCAAAACTTGGTCGCGCCTCCTTCTTCTCCCAAGACTCCTCGATGCGGTGTGATGATGTGCCGCTCTGTCTGCATCTTGGTCTCTTCTTACTTCCCCCGCCGGCTCATGATCTGCTCTCGAATGCGAAACGCCCCCCACTCAGCCACCCCAGCGCTATAGCCCGCGTGATATACAGATGCAACAGAATCAAAAGTCGAATACATGGTGGTATCTTGACGCAGCTAAGGACGAGGATATGGTACAAGAAGTGAAGGACTATTAACGGCTCTGTGCCGAGCAAAAAGGACCGCATGTACAGCGCCGAAATTCCACTCACGCTCCCCTGCGATCCGACCCGGGCTGTTCGAGAAGCCCGCCAATATCGACGCGGCCACTCCTATCATCCCTTCGGCGCGTAGGACACGATAGAAGCTCCCCTCGCTGGTCCCGGATAGGAGGCAGCTGGAAGCCATGCGAAAGCTGTGAAAGCTGTGGCTGTGGCTGTGGCTGTGGCTGTGGCTGTGGCTGTGGCTGTGGCTGTGGCGGTGGCTGGACCTGGACCTGGACCTGTGGCTGTGGCTGTGGCTGTGGCTGTGCCTGGACCGGCGCATGTGGCAGCTCACTCCGTGGCGTCTGGTAGGGAGCGGGGCCTTGGGGATAAGCAGACTGCGCAAAGGAGGCCCCCGGTCCCAGAGGACCGTTCGCCCTATAAACAGACATCTCATTGCGAGGGTCGCCGCTGAAGCCGGAAGTTGTTGATACAAAAGGCGACGCCCCAGGAGTTGGTTGGTAGCCTGGTTGAGGTGTTGGATGTCCATATTGGGCATCCCGAGAAGACGACTCGCGCGAATAGGGAGATGATGACGGTTGATGGTACATCTGTGGCGTGGATGGCAGAACCAGCAGGAGGACAATGAAATAAGTCGACTCTCTCTTCCCCAGTCCGAGGCGAACCTGGAATGTTCTTTGTTGCCCATCTGGAGCTTGGAACGTGAACATTTCCTGCCGATCGATCCTTAAGGACCCAATGTCTTCTGGTCCAAACCCGATAGTCTGGATGACGTGGTCCTCTTCGAATTTGGTAAGGTAGATGGGCGGGAGATAGTTTGGTTCCCTCCCCCGACGCTCCTCTTCGAGATCTTTCTGCAGGCACGCAACCTTGTTCCGGTCGTTGGCACTCACAAGGTCCTGCAGCCTTCTCGATTGGATGGACTGGACTCCAATCGTTTCACCAAAGCTCTGGGTCGTTTTGACGAACTGCATCTCCATGGTGAGATATGCACACGGCGGTTCGAAGCTAGAAGTCATCCTCGGTGGCACGGGCGCCCCATACATGTTCGCATCTGCAGAAGAGGCATGGTCCGTATATCTCGGCCCCATGGAACCGCCACCCATTAGCCCTCCGTGAGATTTCAGAACCCTATACGAGCCGGGTCTTTGAAGAGTATCGGTAAACGAAGCAGGGTCAGTCGAAGGGTACATGGACAGTGGACGTCTCATTGAATGGTCGACAGGTGGAGGATAGCCAGCACCCACAGCCTCATACCGAGGTTCTCGCTCATCGCGTAACCGTGGCCGGCCTCGTTTCTTGTGCTGCACATCGATGCACGTCTCTTCCTTTCCATTACTCAGACAACGGGAGCAAGGACGCTGAGCTGCAATCATACTTGTCAGCAGACCTCCACACAAGCGACTCGAAAGAAAATCAAAAAGAAAGGGGGTGCCAAAGTGATGATCTGCTGAACTCTCCCGGAGCGGCACACTAGTGCTGGATGCAGCATTCGAAGCAGTGGGAAAGACGCCGCCTGAGAATGCTCACCGTGTCAACCCTTAAAAGAGCCGGAGCAGACGGTAGGATGCGACATGGTCGTCCCAGGGCGTCTAAGGATACATATAATCCACATGTGACAACCTAAGTCGCTCTCGTCGTCGTAGAGGTGAAGCCGAGTCTTCTCTCGACCAGGATGCCCTCTGCTCGTGGGTGTTGATCAGCGAGAGAACAAGACGCTCGCTAGTCAGCCAGGTGTGGGATGGAACATGAGGAAATTCCAGGACCAGGGCAGCCCCTTTGGCCACAGGTACCCAAAACAATTGAAGCTAGGGATAGGAGTCCACCACGTTGTGTGCAAGCAGAACCTCACGTTCAGTGCCGGCCCAAGAGCAGCGGATGGGACGGACTTTGAAGAAAACATGCACTTGGCTCTGGCACAGGCACCATCACGGCCATGATCTCTCCCGCGACCTTCGGCTTGACAAGAATGCGATACTGCTTCGCAGTGCCCTAAGGCTACCATCGACTCTTGACTTGACACTGGCGCTATACGCACGATGGGGATCGTAAGCCGGAAGAAGTGCCAATAACAGCGCACGGCCATAGAACCTTTGTCGGAATTCCCATGGCTAATAAACATAAACAAGAGCCCGCTAGAACTTTCTAACCAAGACGGACATGCACCGCAGAACACGGTTCGCATCTCGGCATGGGGAGGAACAAAAACAAAAAACTGGCAAGCAGCGAAGAGAGACCATAGCTGAGACAGGCATACCATCACATCTGCGTAGGGTTAGTTCACTTGCAACACGTATCAGATGAGACATACATACCTGAGATGCGCCCTTTTACAAGGCACACACGCCGACGCGACATGGCCTTTGGTCTTTCTCTGCTGTTTGGGCGATTCAAATCCGGGCGCCTCCATTACTGGTTGCCTGTCGGGAGCTGGAAATTGTTGTAAAGCTTGCGGATGTGGTGCGTAGCCGTGATGCGGTTGCGGTTGTGGCGGTACTTGGGGAAGCGCCTGCTGGTATTGGGCCTGCGTAGGCCCCATCTGCTCTGGTCGATAATGCACTGGATAGAGCATCGAGGGCGGTTGTTCTGGCATGTAGCCTCTCAACGGTGACCCTCTCGATTCCATGTGATCCATTTGAGGTGTTTGCAGTCCCCGATAGACGTCCTGTCCACCCGACCCATAGCTTCCATGACCACGATCGCTGGATTCGAGGTTTCGTCTTGGTGGAAGCGGCGGAGATCCTGACATGGGCGGAGAGGGGTATGCCCTGGAACGAGCACTGTCGGACGCCGCTCTGGTCCAACTCAGATCAACAGAGCAGCGAGCCAGGTCTGACTTGTCTCGACGTTGGCCGAGTGATTTGTGTGAGGTATCGCGACGAGCTGTTGAGGGTGGCATGGAAATCTCAGCGCCCACTGGTTGTGGTTCCAGCCTGGAGCGCTCAAGTCGAGACTCGAAAAGATAGCGAGTGTTCACTTTCTGTTTCGAGGTTGTATCTTTTTTTCTTTTCTTTTCTTTTCTTTTGTTTTGTTTTCTTTGCTTTGTCTTTTTTTTTTTTTTCTTTTTCTTTCTGAGATATCAATATGTTCTGCCTAGGGGGTTAGGTAGTCCTAAAAGGGCACTGCTTTCATGACCTGCTGCTGCTTAGCCTACCACCGGGGAAGTTCAACGCTGTTCAATGCACCGACCTCTTCTTACTCCTTCTTCCTTTTCTTTCTTTGCTCTGATCTTTTATTCCTTTCTTTTCCCACTTCGAATTCGGAGAATCTGCACACAAGCTTGGTTGTCCGGGTGGATCCAGTGAACAGCGCAATGGCTCGCTTGGGATAAGGATCCTATTTCCCTTTTTCTCCTTTTTTTTTCCCCCCCCTCTGTGAATAAGGCCGTAACCAATGGTCGTCGACAGGGCGAATCACCTCTTCTTCTGATTGTCGGGAATGTCCAGGAAGACGAAGTGAATAGAGGCGAGAACGTACGAAAGCCCAATTGACCACGGGTCACGAACAAGCAGATGGACGATGGACGGCGGCCGGAGATTCAAGCGTGGCAATGTTCGCGAAGCACTGGACGGGGAGGTGCAGGAGCAGGAGGAGTAGGAGGAGGAGGAGGAGGAGGGTGTAGACGTATCGAATTTGAAGCGACGTTGCTATGGACACGTTCTGGGGGGGGGAGGGGTCACAGGCTGAGTGAGGGCTGAGGATTGAGAGCTGAGGGCCGGCTGGTTTGCTGATTTGCTGGTTTGCTGGTTTGCCGATTTGCTGATTTGCCGATTTGCTGGTTTTCTGGTTTGCTGATATGCTGATTTGCTGCTAAGTATTCTACAGCGGCAATTTTCTTGGAGGGAGAGGGAGGGATGTTAGAAGTATGTATATTATTATACTGTAAGTACAGTAGGAATGTTGCAGGGGAAGGGGGAGTGGGGAGGGGGGAGGGGGAGGGGGAGGGGGGATGGGGGAGGGGGAGGGATGCTGGTTGTTGGATGCTGGATGCTGGATGCTGGATGCTGGATGCTGGATGCTGGATGTTGGATGCTAAATCTGCTAAAGGCTAAATACTACAACTAAATACTAAATGCGACAGTAGTGTACCGTACCTAGATGCTGGATTGCTGCAAGGGCTTCCAGGCCTAGAAGTAGAGGGTCCGCCGTGTGGTGTGGTGCGGGCGTGGGCGTGGCCGTGGGCATGGGCCCGGCCTTGGGTCGTCGGAAAAACGTTGTTACGTGGCTGTTCTGGCAAGGGCAGCCGATCTGATCCACCAGCAGTCAATAAGTACAGAGTATGAATGCGATGTACTACTACTACTACCGTACTAGTAAATGCAATGCAATGCAATGCAGTCCGATGCGATCCGATACAATCCGATGCGACCAAATCTGGACGGAGATATTGCTTGCTTGCTTGCTTCCCTGCCTCCTGTTTTTCCGAACGAGCCCAGTCCAGTCAGTACACGATTATCATTCATCGATCCATCTCTCTATCCACTTTGATATCACGGCACGCTCTTGGGAATCTGTCAGTACAGTACTCTCGAAGTCCTCTCTGTCTGTCCTGCTCGAGATATTTCCACGGAAAGTTGCAGAGGGGGTCGAATCCAAGCGGGCGCCTGCATACTCCGTACATCCTACGTACGTACATGCAGCTGAGTACAAAAAGCCGGGCTGCGTGCATACCTATCTGTATACTAAGTGCATCTACAGAACTACGGACTTCAATCTTCATGCTACGAACGGCTTGGGCTGCAAGATGGGCTCTCCGCCATCCCAGCCTCCAATCGCTGGCTGTCTGCGTCGTGCGTCTTGTCTGCATCTCTCAAGTCCCCTCCGCCGCTCATACAACAACTACCGTCGTAGTCAGTAGTTAGTTGTCCATGCTTTGCTTTTCACTCACGATGCGCGGCTCAAAAGCCCTGACCTGACCATTCCTCGTCTGGAAAATAGATCAAGACATCGGTGCAGGTCTAAGCGAAGGAACTACAACTACCTGTAGGAAGGTTTGTCGGATCCATTCCCACGTTGGTACAGGCATTATCGATTTAAACTTCATTACCTCGTCTGATACTTATTAACCAGGGTCAGTCAGTCAGTCAGTCAGTCAGTCAGTCAATCAGTCAGTCAGTCAGTCAGTCAATCAATCAATCAATCAATCAATCAATCAATCAATCAATCAATCAATCAATCAATCAATCAATCAATCAATCAATCAATCAGTCAGTCAATCAGTCACGTCACGATTTGAGAAATCATTATGCAGTGCCATCATCGCAGACACCCGACAGTTGGGAGCTCGGACATCATCCACACCTTGCTTGATCTTGAGTCAGTCCGTCAGCTCCGCAGAGATATTGCGTTATGTTGATGGAGAGTACCTGGTCTTTTGCTCGCAGTTGAAACCTGCATCTGTCTGCAGCCTGCTGCTGGTGGACCCGGAGACCACGCGATGCAAGTTGCAACACACCACCGCACGGACGGACGTCCCCTATACTCCGTAGAAGACGGCGAAACTCTATCGGCTCTCTCTACCTGGGACATTGTCAAGGACGTGCGCTGCAGATGCGCGGCTGCAATACGACAAAAAAAAGTATCACACGGGGGATTTCTGGATTAAGATTCTGGATAAAGATATCTATTATCCGGGGCCCCGGGCGGGTAGGGTCGCGAGTGCGTGTCCAGAGCCTGTCGTCGGAAGTGGTCAGCGGTCGAGAATCACGGAAGGCCGATGGATATGACCGGAGATTCTCGTCATGCCTCCGCTTCCTGCCCGCCCTTGCGTTTCCTCCGTTAGTTGTATTAGGACTACGTATTTGGACTTGGGAGTCTGGAAATCTTATTACTCCTCCGTGCCATGTACGGTACGGCACGGGCAGGGTGGCTGGCAGTTGAACTCTGAAGACCCCTTGCGGTCGGCATTCGCTTAACCAAACACGCCGGGTAGCCGGAATGTTTTCTTTTTCACAGGATCTCTCTCTCTCTCTCGGTGTCTTTTTCTCTCTCTCTCTGTCTCTGTCTCTGTCTCTGTCTCTGTCTCTCTCTCATCGGCCGCTCTCTGACTTGGTATTTCTATTTCGAGCTCAGACACGCGCGAGAAAGTTTCTTTTGGGTAAACGAGCAAATCACAAGCTGATCCGAGCTTTCTATACGTACAGTAGTAAAAGTACTACTAGGTACTACGTACGTAGGTAGTACTTCAGCAGCAGTAACTCACTCACTCACTCACTCACTACCTGTCCGGCTTCATTCAGCCTTGCTTGCTGGCGGCAACCAGCCACGCCCGGGCCTTCGCTCTCGCGCAACGGCCGCGAAGTTTAAGTAAGAGCCAAACGATCATCGAGTCATCAAATCTCCTAAATAGATTAATTCGATCTTTCCCCTTCATCAAGATCGCACCGGCCGCCGCGGCCCTCGTCACGCGTACGGAATCCCTTCCTTCCCACCGCGTGTGGGTGTGGGTGTGCGTGGCATCCAGCGGAGCCTGGCTACCCGCCCGCCATTTATAGTAGTATCTATCTGACGGACGTCGGAAGTCTTGTGGAGACGATCATCCCTCGTCGGAAAAAAAAAAGAAGAAAGAGAAAAAAAAAAGGATAAAGAAAAGAAGAAAAGAAGAAAAGAAAAAGAAAAGAGAGAGGGAAAAAAAAAAGAAAAAGATCAAAAGAAAAAAAAATCTCCTGCTCAAGGATGCACCCCGTCTACGACCACTACTTCTGGTTATGCCGGCGTGGCGCACTCGCGTCATCCGTACGTATTCTGCGACCGGCACGGTACGGTCGGTAGGGTTCGAGCGAGGTGAGAGGTGAGAGGTGTGAGATGAGAGCGAGAACGAGAGAGAGTGAGAGAGTGAGTGAGTGAGTGACAGAGAGAGAGAGAGAGAGTTTGTGAGTTTGTGAGTTTGTGAGTTTGTGAGTTTGTGAGTTTGTGAGTTTGTGAGTTTGTGAGTTTGCAGCGCCTGAACCGGGAATTACAACATGCAGAGCTGCGGGGAATGCATCGAGAGCGCACCGTGCGAGACAGCTGGCATTTTATCTGCTGCAGGGAAGGGGGGAGGAGGCGAGGAGGCGAGGAGGGGGAGGAGGGGGAGGGGGAGGGAGGGGAGGAGGAGGAGGGTCCGAGCATCCACCACGTACGTACCGGTAGTGTAGTAGGTACGTACTACGTATCTACAGTACGGTAGCGACCGACCGTATCTACTCGGTCCCGGGACCTACGTATCTGTGTGTGGCGTGGTGTGTGTGTGTGAGATTTGGCGATTTACGGAGCAGCAAAGTGCTAAGCACGCATCGTATCGTATCAAACTCCCGCGGCTTGATACAAAGGACGTAGTAGTAGTACTGTACTACGTACACGGCGCCGGCCGCGAAACGTTTACTTATTAATTTGCATCGCGGGTCGTGTCACGGAACGTGTTTGGGCGGTCACGGTCAGAAGAATCGTGAGAGCCGGCCGGACCGGGGGGGGGAGCTTGGCGATACGTGGGGCATGGGAAAAATGTGTCCAAAGGCCGCCATGCTTTTTTTTTTTTCCCTATCTAGCTTTTCGACGGCGATATACTTTACCCTGGACACGTCGGGGGGATTTTGGATTTTGGATTTTGGATTTTTGGATTTTTGGATTTTTTTTTTTTTTCTTTTTGGTCGTTCCTTTTTTTCTCTTTTTTTTCCTTTTGGTTTTTGGTTTTTGTCTTATTTTCCTTTCTTTGGGCTCTCTCTATCTAGGTTGCTCGCTAGTGCCGACACGATGCCCAGCAGCCTCGGCCGGGCAGCGTGTGGGAGGAGTTACCTACCTACTACTATCGGGCTTTGATACCGTATACCTACTACTACCGTACCTATCGAGATACCTACCGGTACCTACCACGTCGACGACGCCAAGGCTAGTGCATAAGTACGGAGTCGAAATGTGAACGGTGTGGCGCAAGGCTGGACGGGCGATGAGCGGCCCTGGTTAGGGTATTGGTTCGCGAATCCCATCTTCACTGCAGTCCGGCACAGCCTAGTGTTGTACCCGGAACATCGCCGCCTACATTTGAAGCTATTCCCACCTTCACATTCAGAGCATAGGGGCGAGAGGATGTGGTTGCAGCCTGATGGAACCACATGGGCGTTATCACCTCGTAGTCGTAGAGATGAGAAGGACGTACGTGGTACGTGGTGGACGAGACTGGGCGGCCAGTACTTCGGTCAGCCAACTTGCGATCCATGTATTTTCACTTTCTTTTTTTCCTTTTTTTTTTTTTTCTAAATCTTTTCTCTTCTTCTTCCTTTTCCCCCCCCGATCGTTCGATTTGACAAGTTTAAGATCATGCTTTTAATGTGATCCTGCCACGTGAGGTGGGTAGCCCCGCCCCTCTCGTGCACGTCCTCGATATATCCAATTATCCAAGCTGATATTATTGATTACACACTGATACTGTGGCAACCAGGCTCAGGAGAGGGGACCTCACAGGCAGAGATGGGCGGTCATTGGAACCGTCCACGGATCCTTTCCCTTCTCAGGAGACGGTCATTGGACTGCGTGAGATCAGCGCTGCTTTTAACCTCGGAATGGTTCACTTCCAAGACCGTGAAGCCAGAGAGAGACCCGTCCCTTGACCGTCCCCCCTCCCGGCCGTTCCCGTTCCAATCTTGAAGCTATACTTTCTCATGGGATGATCTAGTGATCGTCTGCAGCGAGGTATAATCTCGAATATCCTACTACTACTACTACGACCGGTACTACTCCGATCGCTGTAGAGATTTGATGCGCTTACTCTCTCTTGAAATAAGATTATCAGGGCGGATAAATCCGTGCGGAGATAGCTCCTCGGTCTCGCTACCACCTGACGAATATCAACGCTGTCGTCGATTACATGTTGATATCGATCGACTGAGCGAGATCCGACTGGTCCACCGCACGCAGGCTCTCGATCACTCGTGCAGGAGAATAGGGAAGGAGCAAGAGGGAGGGAGGATGCCATGGACCGAGATATGGTACTTGCTTACTAACATCAGCTTTCTGGCGAGGGGAGAGAGACGGACGTATATAAACGACGATCCAATCGGTGGAAATGGTCTGTCTGTCTCTGTTCAATGACAATCTCTTTCTAAAAAGAGGGCTCTTGTGAACGACAATCAAATTACTTGAATCGGTTCCGTGTCAGCTACGGTTCAAATCACTCGAACTGTCATCTATGAGATACAGTGTTGCGATCCATCCACATGTTCGTTTCCACGTCGCTCTCTCTGACTTGGACCTCTTGTCCCTTTCATCGGATATATGTTGCCGCTTGCTTAGGTACCAGGTTGGGTTTCTTTCATCCCGTCGAGGAACAGGTGGGATTTGAGTATCTTTTGCAGAACAACCTCGTCAACGCCCCGAGATGTTGCGTTGGTGAGCCGTTCGCTACTCCATCCTCTGACCAGCCAGCAGAGATTATCCATTTACTTTTTCCTGCCCCCTCCTCCTCTGCGTCTTGATCCGCCAGCCAGCCGTGCGAGATCCAAGCCACCGCTGCGCGGCCACGGCAAGCCCACCCGTTGAACCTACGGACGACACTTGGGCCTTGGCTCGCTCTGATCTGGTCTGGCTGCGTCGGTTGCTGGGTGTCAGTAGTCGCAAGAATCGTAGACCGGCGGCCGACCTGGAATCCAGCCCGTCCCTCGCTACGGTAATCAAGCGTACTCGGATCAGGACGAACGCAGCGACCAACGAGCGTTTCGATCTGCACCGAGAAAAGCGCAACGCTTTGGATTCTTCCGGCCTGGCTTGACGATGGTTGACATCTGCTGCTATCCCGCCGCCAGAGTTAGAACCTGCCCGCCTCCTCCCTCGCCAGACCGGCGTGGTGGCTGGCGATCGCTCAGCAGACATCACATTCCCCCCCGTGGGAGCTGCCACCCCAGCTCAAGGGTGCAACCAACTGTCGTGCTCTGCTTCCATCCGTACAGGATTTGGCAAGTCCGCAGGCCTTATGAGAAACCCATAGCGTTGTCTGCTCCCTCGCTCCGTCCCCCCTTCTCCGCTCCCGGTTTGGATTTCCGAGATCCACGGTCCGTTCTCCTCCTATTTCCCAGCTCGCTGAGAAACCTGCGCATCTTCAGGTACTTACCTACCTCTCGCGCCGTCTACAGACTCCTCAAGTCTAAAAGCACCAGACATGGATGCCGGTATCCTGTCCGCCCGTCCCGTGGACTGCGCCCATCACCGCGCGCCCGTGCTTGGCGCCGGCACTCGACTCGAGCATTCGAGACCTACCGGTAGTCCAGGCGCAAGCCTCGACCGAGACTCGCGCAAGTGTATAGAGGTGGTTGACACCTTTGGCACCTACGTTCCTTCCCTGCTACTCTCCCGTATTTCGGAGAGCTGTGCATAAATGCAGCGATCAAAGGGCCTCCTCGACTTTCCCGGTATATCATCCGTAGGGCCGAAGGCCCGATCATAGCCTCTCAACAAGACGACCGCACGCTCGTCGTCCCCTACCAGACTAGCGGCCATGGTCCTATCGACGATCTCTCGCCATTGCAAGTCGGGCGGCGTTAGGACTCGGAGACACAGCTCGGGAAGGACGAAATCCAAGTTCGGAAAGGGGATTCCTTTGTATATATATATATCTGTACATATCTGTGTATATCTGTATATATATTTATATATATATATACATATCTGTATATACATATATTCTCAAAGAGCCACCCCCTCACTCACTCCCACCCAACTCCCAGCTCAAGACGGCCTCAAGAAATTTCTATCTCATCTTATTCTCTTCTATTCTATCCTAGGAGCTCTTCCGCTTGCGTCATGCAGTATCAGGGAAGTGTGCGAGAAGAAAAGCAGCCCACCTCGGGCTCTCCAGGTTCTGTTTCCGAGGCGTTAGTCAGTTAGTTAGTTCGGTACTCAGTTAGTCCGTCAGTTAGTCCGTCAGCTACGGTAGTCAGTTAGTCATTTAGTCATTTAGTCAGCTTACCCCTTCCGCGGATCGCCGGCCTATCGCTCACTACCTCTCTCGAGGAAGGTAAGGTAAGGTAAGGTAACCTCCCTCTCTACTTAGTTGGTAAGCGAGCTCGTTCTCGTTCTCGTTCTCGTTCTCCATCCATCCATCCATCCAGCTAGCTAGCTATCCATCCATCCAGCTATCCATCCATCCATCCAGCTAGCCCTCCCCATACCTCCTCCACCTCGTCAATACCACGACCCCTCCCCGCCCCCCGATCGAACGAACCCAGCACCGCCGCACCGCCGCAACCAAGCCGCAGCCAGGTCTCGTTCTCGTCCTCGTCCTCGTCCTCGGGATCTTCGGCCGGCCAGAAAGATCTATCTATCCGTTCGTCCGTTCGTCTGTCTCTGTTCGTCCGTCCGTCCGTTCGTCTGTCCGTCCGTCTGTTCGTCCGTCTGTCTCTGTTCCCCGAACGCCCCCGAGACAGAGAGACAGATAGACAGACAGACAGACAGACAGACAGACGCTCGTAGGTAGGCGAAGGTAGGCTTGGATGCGGGCTTTTTTTATCTTCGCTTCTGTGCTGTGCTGTGCTGGTGAGGACTGGTGAGGACTGGTGAGGACTGGTGAGGACTGGTGAGGACTGGTGAGGGCTGGTGAGGACTGGTGAGGGCCAAACTAGAGGCGAGGTGGGAAGGAAAGGATTCTTTGCTTCTGCTTTTGCTTCTGCTTTTGTGGAGGAGGAGGGAGAGGG